GCCGCTGCGGGCCGGTCCGCTTGGGGTCCCTAGTTTTGCGGCCTAAGCCGTGAGCTCTCTAGGCCTCGCGTCTCCTTTCCTAGAGGCGGCCGGCCGGGCCGTTGACTCGCGGCTTCTCTCTGGTTGAGCGGAGGCCTCGGACTCCCTGCCGGCCTCTCGAGGCCCCCCAACTTCGGACCTTGGTGCTCAGGGGTGGATTTCATTGTGAAAGGTGGAATGGGCAACTCCGGGGCTGCTCGGCGTCTCCCGTGGCCGCGGCTGCCGCCGCCACCGGCGGGGAGTCCTGTGGCCCAGGTCTGGCGCGGGTGGGGGAGGCGGGCGGCTGGCTGGCAGGGTCCGAGCCCCCAAAGAAGAGCAGAGTGTCCGGGTGAGGCATCCCCGAGTCCCCGGCCTCCGGGGGGTGGGCTGGGGGCGAGGAGAAGCCTTTTCCAGATTAAGAGCTTTTTGAAATGAAAAAAAGAGGTTACAAAGTCGCCCCTTTGCCGCTGAACTTTGGTTTTCTGACCGATAGAGGCCGGTAGAGGACTGTGAAGGAAAAGTTCTCCCCCAGGATGGACTTCACCGCGCAGCCCAAGCCTGCCACGGCCCTCTGTGGCGTGGTGAGTGCCGATGGGAAGATCGCTTACCCTCCCGGAGTGAAGGAGATCACTGACAAGATCACCACGGACGAAATGATCAAGCGATTGAAGGTAAGCGGCTGGCCAGGTTGGGTTGTTTTGCGTCTCCCACATGTCTTTTTTCTCCCTGTGACGTTACCGCACCACTGGGCCTGGCCTTCAGTAGAAGTTTTCATCTGCTAAGTTCTTAAATGTTACCATATATATTGTCTTCTCCTATCCCCTCTGAAATTGTTCTCTCGGGTATATTTTTTAATAAGTTCCTCAGGAATGGAATTATTAGACGTCTGTTTTTCTCTCCTACTGTTTTTCAAGCATCAGGAACTCTAATGTGTTTTAAAAGTTTTACTTCTGTCAACACTTGTATTTCATGAGAATATTGTGTTATAATTTGGCCTGCTACCTTGATTATGGGCAATAATTTGTCTGGGAATGTTCCAGTTTTCATCAGCTCCTGAGAGAACTGATTTAAGAACTTTTTCCACCTAATTTCTCACAATTTTTTTCCCCCCTTTTGGTCGTGGGGCTTGAACTCTGGGCCTGGCACTGTCCCTCAGCTCTTCAGCTCAAGGCTAGCGCTCTACCACTTGAGCTACAGCGCCACTAATTTTTGAATATTCAGAAGATATATACATATATTTGCATATAGATGATGTGATTGGGTTGTAGCCTTAAGATGATGATCTAAGTGCATATACATTCGAAGGAGTTTTAAGAAACACTATTACAGCTTTTTGTGAAGCCTCTGCTTATGTAGTATGTAAACACGGCATCCCTAAAGACTTGGTTCAGTTTTTGCTTTCTGTTTCATTGTGAGAAAAGCCATCTTTTCTATCAAAGTAGGTTGCTTAAAAGTTCCTATTTTGGCTTGATGGGTTGGCTCTTGTTGATTATTCTGCTAAGACAACATCAGTGACTGAAGAAAGGGAAAGAGAAAATCCTTTGGGATAAGGAAGGATTTAAAAAATACAGTTTTATTTCATTAGTGTTGTTCAAGGGTGTGTTACCATCTCATAAGTCAGGTAATAAATACATTTCTTTTTGGACAATGAGAATTTTTGCAATGTAAGGTTTTAGCTGGTTCTTTTATGGGGGGGGGTCTGGTCGTGGGGCCTGAACTCTGGGCCTGGGCGCTGTCCCTCAGCTCTTCAGCTCAAGGCTAGTGCTGTACCACTTGAGCCACAGCACCACTTCCAGCTTTTTTCTTTTTTTGCTTATGTGGTGCTGAGGAATCAAACCCAGGGCTTCATGCATGCAAGGCAAGCACTCTACCACTGAGCCACCTTCCCAGCCCCTTAGCTGGTTGTTCTGAGACAGAATTCAGACAAACTTCAGATTGTTCAAGAGAATAGATGGTGTATGTTTTGAGATTGCTTGTTTCTGTTAATCTTATCACAGAGTCTTAATGGTCACTTTATGTGATCATATGTGACCATCTTATCCTCTTCAAAATAGCCAATTGAATGCACATTGTGAACCTGAGTTTGGCCAATTCAAGCAGTGGGGCAGGGCCTACTGCCTCCGGGATCATAAAGGAGCTGCTGGCCTGTGTTATGTTTTCTTGCCAGCTTTTTGGCTGATGGTGCACCCTTCCGCTTTGCCTTGCTGAGTTCCTTTTGAGTTTTGTCCTTTTCCCTATACAGCACCTCAACATCCTGAGACATTTCTGACATCATTGACATAAATTGTGGCCAGAGTACTGTAATTGTTATGAGATTAGCTTAAAGTAGTGATTGAGTTTGGGCTGGAGGTATGGCTCAAGTGGAACTCGCTATTAGTGTGCCTCCTAACAAGTGTGCATTTGCGACATTGGTTATCTTTACACTTCAGAGGACATGGAAAGTGTTGCTTGTCACAACTGGGGCTAGCTTGGTAGAGAGCAAGACAATGAGCTGTTGGGAAAAATTATTATTACTAGTCCTGATGAATGTGTTAAAAGTATTTTTTTGTTGTTTTTTTGATTGGTCATGGGGCTTGGTCATGGGGCTTGAACTCTGGGCTTGGATGCTGTCCCTCAGCTCTTCAGCTCAAGGCAAGCGCTCTACTGCTTGAGCCACAGCTCCACTTCCGGTTTTCTAGTGGTTTATTGGAGATAAGAGTCTCACAGACTTTTCCTGCCTGGGCTGGCTTTGAACCACAATTTTCAGATCTCAGCCTCCTGAGTAGCTAGGATTATGGGTGTGAGCCACTGTCACCCGGCTTAAAAGTATTTTAAAATAGGAGTGTAGAGAAGGAATGATTGTATGGAGAGGTTTCAAATTTACAATAAGACTAGATGATGGAATATGAAGCAAGAAGGTGTGTCTCTGGTCACCTTGGTGAAACTTATTTGTAGGAACTGACGGTTATGCTTTTAAGAGTTTTTAGTATAATGTCTAATAAATGTTTGTGATGTTATGTCTTTTTTGTTGTTGTTGTTTATTTTTTTTTGGGTCCGGTCGTGGGGCCTGAACTCTGGGCTTGGGCGCTGTCCCTCAGCAATTCAGCTCAAGGCTAGCGCTCTACCACTTGAGCCACAGTGCCACTTCCGGCTTTTTTCTTTTTTCTTATGTGGTGCTGAGGAATTGAAACCAGGGCCTCAGGCATGCAAGGCAAGTGCTCTACCACTGAGCCACCTTCCCAGCCCCTATTGTTGTTGTTATTGGTCATGGGGCTGGAACTCTGGGCCTGAGTGCTGTCCCTCAGCTCTTCAGCTCCAGTCGAGCGCTCTACCACTTGAGCCACAGCACCACTTCCGGTTTTCTGGTGGTTAATTGGAGATGAGAGTCTCATGGACTTTCCTGCCTCCTGAGTAGCTAGATTATAGGCAAGAGCCACCGGTGCCCGACAATCAGGTGTTTTAGGTTCCATTTGTTGCCTTTTTAGGAGAAATTAGACAGTTTTTTTTTCATTAAAATCTTTTTGGTGTGTCTTGAGAGATTGAACCCATCTCCTCACTGAAGAGGCACTCTGCCACTCAGTTACATCCCTAGACTTGATACTAAAGATTACACATGAATTGAGTTACTTAATTGATGCTTTTTAAAGTTAGAGGTTTTAAAGCAAGAATCTGAAAAGCTGAAATATAAACCTGTGAACTGTAATGCTGTTATGTAGTATATTTATCTTTTAAGTTTTACTAAATTTTTCAATGAAGAATATTAAAACCTGCCAGGCATCGGTGAGTCATGCCTGTAAGTCTTGACCTCCATGCTACTCAGGAGGCCAAGATCTGAGAATCGCTGTTCAGAGCCAGCCCCTTCAGGAAAGCCTGTGAGACTCTTAATCTTCAATTGACAACTCCAAGAAAGCTTGGAGTTGTGGCTCTAGTAGTAGAGTGCAATCCTTGAGCACAAAAGCTCAGAGACAAAGACCAGGCTCTGAATTCAAGCCCTAAGACTGACACACAACAAAAAGAATATTAAAACCATGAATTCTGTTGGTGAGTAATCTGGATAAAAAGTAGAAGTTGAGCTGGTCGCAGTGGCTCATGCCTATAATTAATACTAGTTACTCAGGAGGCTGAGACCCAGAGGATCAAGGTTAGAAGCCAGCCTGGGCAGAAAAGTCCACAAGATACGATTGCTAGTTAACCAGCAGAAAGGTGGGCTACACATTGTAGCTTTGGTTTTTTTTTTTGTCGATCGTGGGGCTTGAACTCTGGGCCTGGGCGCTGTCCCTCAGCTCTTCAGCTCAAGGCGAGC